CTGGCGGTCCAGTTTGGTTCTCCAGCCACAAGCCTGCTGCAAACAGCTCTGATGGGAAGTGTCTCTGTGTCTCCGAGGGCTGCCAGGGCCACTGCTGAGCGAATCCAACCAGTGAGAAGAACGTGGGAGCAATTGTGGTGACTGAGAGGGCAGGCTGAGAGAGCCCAGCACCTCTGCTTCCCAGTGTCTGAGTCCCATGCGCGCAGCCCCACAGAGCCAGCTGGGCCTCTGTTCGGCCTGGACAGCAGCAAACCAGCTAAGGCCCCAAATCTGCAATATCAGAACTTACAGGATCGGATCCCAAATCGTTCAGGGCTAATGAACCCAGCAGGATTTTCCAAAACCAGTAGTAGAGAAATTGCTTTGATGGGATGGGGACCCAGTAGTGCCATCTTGACAGAGCTGATTTTCATCCTAGGGCAGTGGTTTCCAAACTAGGGTTCATGCCCCAGACCTGGGCAGTGGAGTGTCAGGCGCTGGGTCTCGGTGCTGCATCAGGTGACCAGTGCGGATGTGTCCTGGCACCACAGACTGAGCTGCGCCCCAGAAGCAGCCAGCAGCAGACCCGGCTCCTAGGTGAAGGGGGGCAGAGCGCACAGGGCTCTGTGCACTGCCCCTGCCTCAAGCCTTCCTGCTGCTGGCTGCTTCTGGACGCAACCTGGTGGCTATGTCTACACTGGCAGGGGGTGGTTAGGAGAGGGAGGAAGCCACCTTAGCACCCCCGCTGACCTGCTGCCTGGGAGCTGCTCAAGGTAAGCCCCTCCTGCCACAGTCCCCCTCCTACACCCCAAAGCTCTCAGCCCCACCCCGGAGCTCTCACTCCAGTCAAATTCTGTTGGGCATCAACAGTTTTCTTCACCTGGGTCATGAGAAATAAAGTTTGGAAACCATGGCCCGCTGCTCTTGAGGGCCCAGCTTCTTTCCCGGCGCTGTCCTAGAAACTGCTCTCCGCTCCCATGTGGGGATTTGCCCGGCCACACTGCTAGCGGGGGCCTGCCCCTTGGCACTGACCCCTTCCCCTGTACCTGTCTGCAGGTTCCTGAACTGGAGAAGGCGTCGGTCCACATGAAGGACCCCGAGCACGTGAAGCGCGTAATCTCGGCGCTCCGGGAAGCGGGAGCAGACAAACTGCAGGTTTCTCTTTGTGCTCTGATCTGTGCGGTTCAGGGCCCTGGAGCCCGTTCCTGTGGGATAGTTCAGCAGTGCATGGTGGGGGGATCGCGTGCCATGTTGGGGTAGAGCTATTGAAGGCGCTTGTCTAGCCTCCGTTTCCATTAGGGATGTGAACGGGTAACCGGTTACCTGGTAAGCATCACCACCGGATAATGGTAACTGTTACCCAGGAGCAGTCCTGGGGGGCTGCCAGCTCCCAGCCTGCATGGGCTGGCTGGCTGGGAGCTGGCAGCCTCCCTTCCCCTCCAGCTGCTGACTCCACGGTTGCCGCTCCAGCCCACCCCTCTTTAATCAGTTATCCGGTTAAACGTAACATTTCACCAGTTAACCAGTGAAACGGGATTTTACATCCGTGATTTCCATAGTATGCGAGTGCCTCGCGACGAGGCCGTTACCCTGACCGTTGCTGCGTGAGGTGGGGAGATGCAGTTCTAGGCGACTTGTCTGGGAAGGCACAGGGAACAGAGCCCGGCCTCCTGTGTTCAGCTTCTGGGGGCTATCTGTATTAAGCCAGTCTGCACAACCCCCTCACCAGGAGGTAAATCACCAGGGCCTTTTTGTGCAGAGGAGGAAACGGGAGGGGACTCACCCAAGTCTTAAGAAGGCATCTGTGTCGTAGCTGGAAGTAGAAATCTGAGCCAGGTTCTGCTTCCCTGCTAGGGACCGTAGTGGCCCGTGCATCTCTCAAAGCACAGCCTGCTGGCTCGGTTTCTGATATTGTCCTTTTTCTCCTCCTCCTTGTGCCCTGCAGGTCATTTCGGACTTCGATATGACTCTGAGCAGGTTTGGCTTTAATGGGAGGCGATGCCCCACTTCGCACAGTGAGTCAAGCAAGCTCTGTGGCCACTAGTTTGTAGCTTATGCACCTCGCTCCTGGCTCTGTGGCCCAGCCGTGTCATTTCTCTCACTTGCACTCGTGGGCTGTTGCGAAGCTCCAGCCTTTTCCCTCCCCAACCATCTCACTTGGTACAGCCCTTTTTGCTGCTGAAACTGTGCTCCATGGCTTGGCCATCACTCATACCGATTGTTAAACCCCCCCGCTCCTCCCCATTGGTCCAAAATCCCATGGTGCAGATCAGCATCCTCGCTGCTCCAACCCTCCTCCCTACCCCCCACAGACCCCTTGTCTGCTTCCGCCTTGCCTTTCCTGTTAAGTGCCAGCTCCCTTTCAGGGCTGTGTGTGACTGATCCAACCTGCACACCTGGTCTTTTCTCCTGCACTTCCTTTGGCTCTTTACTCACTTCTGCATCCTTTGTGCCGCTTGCCTTCCTACCACCCACTATACTCAGAGCCCCGTCCCATGCCCCTTTCTTCCATCAGCTCCTTCGCTCAAGGCTCGTCTACGTGTAAATCTACCCTGCCCCAGTCTGCTGTGCACTAAGGATGTGTCTACACAGCAGGGCTTAACTCGAAATAAGCTACGCAAAGTGAGCTACGTCAATTGCATCGCTTATTTCGAAATAGAGAGCGTCTCCACGGCACTTATTTCCAAATAGCGCACTCTTCCTCCGACTTCCCTTACTCCTCATACAATGAGGCTACGTCTAGACTGGCCCCTTCTCCGGAAGAGGCATGCAAAGCAGGCAAGTCAGAATAGGGAAATCCGCGGGGGATTTAAATAAACATGGCCGCCGCTTTTTTTCCGGCTTGGGGAAAAGCCGGAAAAGAGCTGTTTGCACTTTGCACAATTCCCCCTTCAGAGAGATGCCCTAAAAGGTCCTGAATCACCACTTCAGTCAGGCTCTTTTAAAGGGTCCCAAGTTGGGATCCAAAATCACAGATCATTTTTGCAAGTGGTAACACTGGTATTTCTGTAGGATTGGGAAAGGGCACTCCGGTGTTCTCCCAGAGTTGAGTGGCTGTTTGTGTCTTTCCAGATATCCTAGATAACAGCCGAGTCATTAGTGAAGAGGGCCGGAAAAAGGTACGTTTACCGCCATGAGATTCCATCTCTTTTGGCTCTATGTATTGTCCAGTCCCCTGCTGCTCACACGCCGCTCGTCCTGCTAGGGGTAGGCTCCTGGGATACAGAGGAGATGGAGCTAGAACACAGCCCTCGGTCAGATGGGATCCCCCTGCCAGCGAAGAGAACCAAGCAAGATCCCAAATAGCATCTCAGATATGGAAGCACTTGCTGGTGTTCAAGAGAATCTTTACAAACCCATCACCACCCCCAAGCACGGGCCTTTCCTGGCCAAGAGAACGGTGATCAGTGGCGAACAAAGGCCATTGTTTCTGTCCAGAGCCATGTAACCTTGCTGCCGCGCTCTGATGGATTTCTAGAGGAGTATTCAATATGTCCCTGGGGACCCCTAGAAATCGCCATGTTACTCAGCTGTGTAGGGACCACTTTAAGCCGTGATGCATTTGTGAATTCTGCAGATACGCTGCTGGCTTGTGGTTTAACATTTCTTTTCCGAAGCCCTTAATGTTCCTTGCATTTTCTGTTTAAACCCATCCACTCCTCTAGTTAAAAGATCTGCTGCACTATTACTATCCAATCGAAATTGACCCCAATCGGACCATGGAAGAAAAATGTCCCCTCATGGTGGAATGGTGAGTGACTGTACAAGGAGCTAATGCCATGGGATAGAAAACAAGCAGGTAAACAAGAAAACGAGAAAGAAAACGTCCCCTCATGGTGGAATGGTGAGTGACTGTATGAGGACCATTCCTCAAAGTGCATAAAGCAGCTTTTCTGGTCATGTGCCCAACACAGAGTTGGGTGGATACCGCTACAGCACTGTTTCCCAATTTTACTTGGACATGGAACCCTTTTCAGCTTGAAAGAATTTAAAGGAACCCCTAGGGTTGCCAAGGTAAAATTTGTCGAGCCAAAAAAAAAAAAAACACCTCCTGCCACAAAAAGGCTCTGTCTCTTTAAGAGGGAGCGGGGAAGTGCCAAGTTCTCGTGGAACCCTTACTTTCGCTTCGTGGAACCCCAGGATTCCTCAGAGCACCAATTGGGAAACACTGCAGTACAGAATGGCAGAGCTGTGGACAAACCGCAGAAGCAAGGGGCACCTGGAGAGCGAAGCGTGTCTGTTTGTATCAGTACAGGCAGTCCCCGGGTTACGTACGCGATAGGGACTGTAGGTTTGTACTTAAGTTGAATTTGTACTTAAGTCGGAACTGGCATCCAGATTCAGCCGCTGCTGAAATTGACCAGGGGCTGACTACAGGAAGCCCAAGGCAGAGTTGCTCTGCCCCGGGCTTCCTAGAATCAGCCGCTGATCAGTTTCAGCAGCGGCTGAATCTGGATACCAGTTCCGACTTGCATACAGATTCAACTTAAGAACAAACCTACAGTCCCTATCTTGTACCTAACCCGGGGACTGCCTGTATCCAAACAATTCTGTGGTCTCTTTATCTTAGTCCTAATTCATAAAGTACCAACTACAATAAAACTTAAATGGTGGCTGGTTTATACCAGGATGGATTGATTTAAATAATTAATTTTAAGTCACTTTGGTTTGTTACCTTTTTTGGTAACTTGATTTAAAAACTTTTTTTGGTGATTTTAAAATGTAAGGCTGACTGTGCTTAGAGTGCACTAAAGTTTGGAGTAAGCCCCATTGAACTCACTATCACTTTGTTTTTTTTGAGAACAAGTATAGAATAGGGATCCCTTGGAAAAGCTAAGTTATGCTGAAGAAAGAGGAAACAGATTTGTGATCTCACCATAATGGTGTATAGCCATGATCCTCCAAAATAAGGAGTATGTATAATTAAGCCATAAGGATAAGCTAAGCTAAACTTTTTTAGCAACATCCAACACAACTTGAAAATTGACTTCAGTCACATTTATACTAAAAAGCATTGAGAGTCTTGAAGAATGATGCATTGCAAAGTGAATTACTTAAGTACTAGTCAGTTGACCCACTCAGCCATATTCACATCTTCCTTTATTTTCTCCCAACAAGCAGTTTTCCTTAGGATGGTTCATTCTTGCAGATAAGCCATGCATCATCTTTAACAGCTTACACTTGACACGTTTTTCCTTTTTTACATACGGAACCAATTTCTTCAAAATATTCCCAAATGGGGTCTCTTATGCCCAGAAGCCATGACAGATTTCTGTGGCAAAAGGGCAGGAGAATATAGGCAACACTGTGTGTCCTGAATGTCTTGGCTTTTTCTTTCTAGTCCACTCCACTGTCCTTTTCTATGCAGCCTCTATCCTTTCCTATATATTACCTCAAGACCATGTCTTGACTAACTTCTCTGCTTTGCTTAGCCAAAGTCCATCACTCTGGATCTGAGGCTGCGGTACAGGTATGTGGGGCAGGTGGAGCTGGTACTCATTGGGAGCCAGCTCC